AGCCGGCCATCACAATGATCCAGAACAACCTCCAGGTCAAAAAAAAAAAAAAAAAAATCCAAAACAGCCATGGAACCAACACAATCACTCACACTGAGTCTACAACCCAGTCATCATCAAGCCAAATGGTGACAGATAGACCCAACATCATGCGCAACATCAAGAACTTCTTTGGTTTGTAATAAACAACAACAATTATTACCCGTTTATGTCTATCTATCAGTCATTGTCCTATGAATTTGACCCATAAAGAAATTACCCCCCGAAATTCTTGTTACCTCAGGTGGGTGTTAGTTCACACTCGCTCATTAGTTGCGCTGCGAGATTCCAAATCCGGAAAAAGTCTCCAAACACAGAACGGTGTGGAGAAAGGATTATGATACACACATTCGCAAGTCGACTCAAAATACGAGACAGAAAACCTTCAAAGATAGAGATACGATTACTTTATTTCAATCAACTCGTTATCATAATCTATACAGATAACCTCTATGATCGATTAAACAACTATGATAATGTCTGTATGGTCGCATGATCCAATGGAATGAACCAAAGACGCATCGTATCTTCAAGTCGCATGACAAGTAGTGCGCAGTGGACATCGATACGACTGAGAGTGTAGGTCGTTGAGTTTGGTATGCGTATTTCTAGTTGTCGAACATTGGGATAACACTTGTTGGCAAGGTAGCGCTTGGAGAACCGGGCCATAAAGCAAACCTCACCAAAGGTTGGCACAGGCACTGGGTCCATTTGACTGTCATCTGTGAGGTAAATGCAAAGTACATCTGTTTGACAGGAGATGGGATGATCCTGGTGATCGAGAATAGGGTTCAGATATCAAAAAATGGTTCAGTTTCCTATCTGAACCCTATTCACACAATTGAGTGAAGCGGTCCACCCATCAATGTTTCCAGAGTCACTCACCTCATTGAAGTTCAAACACGATCTAGCGCCAACCTCCAAGCTTCCACCAGTTCGTTATCTGACGTTGAACAACATCGAACAGCTTGCAATGATCGACAGTTCATCATCATCATCATCATCATCACAGTATAAACGCATCACACAGACAGCCGACACCAAGTGTAAAGTCACGGTCAATGTCCAATCGAAGGCGTTTGATGCTGTTTGGCAGCATCCCAGGCAGGATTGCGTATATACGGTTGCGACCCAATCGGTGGTCTGCAGACCAGTTCAATGTGTGTAGCAAGTGTAGTGGAGCAATTGCGAACTGGTGCCAAGCCATATCTTTTTCCAAGCGATAGAGAGACGAGTGTGGATGGCAAGGATTCTGAATGGATATCGCTGCGATAATGAGACCCAAATGTCAATGACTCGAGTGAACCCGGGAGCACTCCAGGATAGATGTTTTGGTTGAATCCACTTCCAAAGGTCAGTGTCTTGAGCGAGACTGGAAGCACTCCTGGATCGATTTGTTGGTTGAAGAACTCACCAAAGGTCAGGGTGGTGAGCGCAGTCGGCAACACACCTTGACTGATCGTTTGGTTGTAATGACTCCCAAATGTTAATGTCCTTAGTGAAGATGGAAGCTCTGTTGGTTGGATGGGCCGGTTGATGAATAGTCCACCAGTTATTAACTCTAATAGTCCATTTGGGAGTGAGCCTGCGATGATCTCCTGTTCATCATTGATGACGAAAAAATAGCCAGCCGTGTGAGGGACGATGGTAGCATTCCAGGGTATATGGTCTGACAATACCTTTCACCAAGTGTCAACGACAAGAGGTTGGGTGGCAGAACGCCAGATGTACCTTGTCAAACACCATCTCTGTTGATCATCAATTGATCGTTTGGGTGGAAGCGCATAGATATATACAATGGAAATTGAATATTATAAGTACTGATGGCTGTTGTATGAATTTTTGAATGAATGAATGAAGTGTTGTGTTGGATCTTTTGATCATAAATAAATATCCTGGGAATGTTCCCCACAGTTTAAGAAGATCAGAAGTCAAAATAAAATATGTGAACTTCAAAAATGTGAGAGGTGAGTGCGGTGTAAATTTGAATTTGAAATTAGCGCCAATTCGAATCGAATTAACGGTTGAGTTCAAAATGTTCGTTGGTTAGATGTGGTCCACTTGTTACACTGTCTCGCTAATCATCTCATTGCGCTCACTCTCTCCTACACATACACATACATATACTTATACATACACTAATACATCAATAATAAACAACACATTGACATGTATCACTCACCACTTTGTTTTGCCTTGTTGTCTCAATACTGCTGATGAGTTACTAATGAGTTTGAGTTATGATATCTATCAATGAGTGAGTACTAATTGACTTCTAATTGCACCACCATCTGCTTACTTACTTACACTATACTCTTCTTTTCTTCTCTCTCTTCTCTTCTGCCTTCTCCTTGACCTTGTGCCTTGAAGCCAGCTGTGTGTGGTCCTTGACTGCCACTTTGCCAAGATGGCCACCTCTGACTCCAACCAGACAGACCGCCACGCTGACAAGTGCGCCGCCATCCTGCCAAGTTGTATCTCGTGTTGACCACAGTCCAGAGCCTTTGCCTCCAACTAGACTGCCAGCCTCGCTGACAACCGCACCGCCATGTGCCATCAGTGACCAAAGCCTCTGTCTCCAACTAGACACGGCGTCTCGGCCATGCTGACCATCGCCGTGCTACCAAGTTGTCCACAGCCCAGAACATCTGTCACCAACTTGATTGACTTACGCCATGCTCTCATGGTGTGCCTTGCACCACGAACCTCTGTCTCCAACTTGACTGCCGCCGTGCTTCCACGTTGACCACAGCCATGAACCTCTGCCGCCAAGCTGCCTGACCACTATGCCCTAACTATGCTGTCTGATCACTGCCGCCATGCTGCCTGACCTCTGCCGCCATGTTGCCTCTGAGTCCATGAACCTCTGTCTCCAACTAAACAGACGGCCGCCATCCTGCCACGTTTACCGACGCCATTGAGACTCGGCCATGCTGACCGCCGCGAGCTTACCAAAGCCCAGAACCTCTGTCTCCAACTAGACAGACGGCCCGCCATGCTGCCTTGAGTGACCACAGCCCTGAACCTCTGTCCCTCAATCAATGAGTGAGTACACAAATGATCGCACCATGCTCACCTATACTCTTCTTACTTACACCATTCCCTTCTTCTTCTCTCTTCTCCTCTGCCTTCCCTTGACCTTGTGCCTTGAACACCGCTGTGTAGTCCTTGTCAAGTCAGTGTCTCCAACTAGACAGACTGCCGCCTCTGTGACTCGGCCATGCTACCAAGCTGTCCGCAGCCCCGAACCTCTGTCTCCATCTAGAATGAGGTCGCCATGTGCCCTGACTGACCACAACCA